CAGTTAGCAGTGGAATGCTGACCCATATTCCATAAGGTTAGGTTTTAACCTATAGGCACCCAAACTTCATTTGCCTAAGCCCCCTTTACAGAAAACCAAGTACGTACTCAGCACCTGCTGGCAATTGAAAGCTTTTGTGCTATGGCCCGTAATCCAGGATAAAGAACAGGGATCTGCTTTTCCAGCCCTCCTGGATCATTCCAGCACCCCCAAGGGGGCAGCATTCTCGACTTTGGGCAATACTGGGTTAGAAGAAATTCACAGGTCTTCTTAAATCAAGGACATTAACCTCAGGAGGTTGGCTCATAGGGCCACCTTAGAGCTTGAGCGCCATCTGTGACCCCCTTTGCCACTCTTCCCATCATGAAGATGGTGACACCATCATATCAAGTCCTTGTTTAGTTCTCCTAACCTTCCCTTCATGCAACTAATGATAAAATCCTCTTGATTTGCCTCATAAGTATCTCCTGTTCTCTTTATCCCTGTTCTGAATTTACTTTTAGCTGGTCCACTTGCTTGAATTTTTGCCTTTAAACAATAGGCGGAATGATGTTTCTGAAATGCAACACTGATGACAGTGTATTTCACCTAAAAACCAAAACCAAAACCAATCGGCACTATGCTAACTCCAGTACATGGCGACCAGGTGCGTGTCAGAATAGAACTGTGTTTTAAAGGGTTTTCAATGGATGATTTTTCAGAAATACCTTATCAGATTTTGTTTCCAGGGGACTTTGAATGGAATTGAACTTAAAACATTCAGTTTGCACCACTGAAGAATTGCATACCCCACTGAAAATTCCTTAATAACTTTTCACTGACCTATGGACGAGGCAAGAATTTCTTGTCTGAGCTCAACAGCCTCTTTAGTATCTGGCTTCTCTCCTCTTTCCAATCACTCTGACATCTGTTCCTTTTGCCAGGGATATTTTCCCTTAACCAGCTTGTTACATCCTGCTTATTAGTCAGATCTCAATTTATGCGTCCCTTCCTGCAGAGAACCTTCCTGACGGCCAGATCCTAATGTATCCGGGGCTCCTGGTTTCACATATTCAGCATTCCGGATCCCCGTGTTCGTGACATTTAGGACACAAACTTTTGATTTCGTATTTAATTGTCTTTTTTCCCCTAAACTGTAAATATGTGAGGCCGAGGGAAACATCTTCTGTATTTCGCACTTTGCTATTGATAGCCTAAGCTCTCCAACAATTGTCCCGTGAATAAAATAACATATGAACACTCAATTCTCAGTCTGCTTTTAAAATATGCCCACCTTTCTCTCTCAGCACCACCCAGCTCTTGTTTCTGATGGGCTTAGTTCCAGTTGGTCGATTTTTAAAAATCTAAAGTAATATGTTATTCGAGGCACCTTTGTTTCAGTTAATATTTCTTTCTCAAGACATTTCCTTGCTACTGATATAACCCCAGCTGCATCAGTGTCATGACCCTGTCTATTTCCTCCCGATACAGGGTCTGTCCTTTGATTGTCTAATTGGAATCTTATTAAAATAGCCAGCCAACTGCAGTATATAGTTTTATAAACTCATTGAGAACAGTCCCCTCAATCCACTCTGTGGAGGGGCCTACACCTGCTCCCAGGACATTCCAGCAGACGATCTCCTACACTGAGCACAGAGGGGGCATCTGTTCCCTGAGCCAACTCGGGAGGGACAGCTGAGGCTCATCCCAGTTAGCCAGGTCAGCCTGTCCTTTTGCATCAGGCATCACACAACAAGTGATTGAGTGGAGTTAACAGGTGTGAAATGTGTCCCTCTTAACCCCTCCCAAGTCACATCTGTCTATGAGAATAAGGCAAACTCCCTGGAGAATCCAATTAGCATGTCACGTTGGTTGTTGTGTGAGTGTGTATGCGTGTGTGTTGGTGAGTATGTGTACTATGTGTCTTTTTGTGTAAATGTATGGCTGTGTATTTGTGTGTGTGCATGTGATATCGACAAAGAGAGAGAAATTTAGATGCACAGAGATAATGCGAGATGGAAAGTGAAAGAGACACAGATAAAGGGAAAAACAAACAAACCAATAAAAGGAAAGAAAGAACTGGGCGTAGAGAGATGGGCCAATCAGATGGCTTGCGGGTGACAGCTCCAGTGGTGGTCCTTGTTTATAAAGTGCACACAAATGGAATACATGATAACACAGAATGTCAGTCCCATCTGGACAACCTTGCATGGAGTAAGGGCAAGGAGCATGTGCATGACAGAACCTTCCTCCTGGGCCAGGAACACACCAGCGGAAAAAGGGGGTTGGCAAGGACCAGCCCAGGAGACTTGGTGGGAAGCCTGTTGCCGAGTGTGAGACTGAGCAGTTGCTACAGTCACCATCATTACATGATGGTCAGATGTCCCTGAAAGTGAGAGCCAGCTCTTTGTGAATGAAATTATTCTCTGAATGTCTAGAGGTGGTCTGTTGATCAGCTTCAGAAGCCAACTGAAAAAGGACAAGGTGCCAAATGTGCAAAGAAAAAAAGCATGTGCCAGTCTTACTGTTTTTACATAATATTTGATTTGGTCTTTACACTATGCCTATGTGGTAGATACTCTGAATGACCCTATTTTACAGATGAAGATATGAAGAATGGTGGTAACCAGCTCGCACAATACCAAACTGTTACTAAGGTGTAGAGCCAGACTTTGAATGCAGGAAGCTTTATTCTAGAAACAGTATCTACCATTATACTAGCTCAAATACCTGCTCTGCCATTTAGCCTTTGGATGTCCTTGGACTCTATATTAAGCCCAGTGTTTCCCAAAGTGAGCAATACCACTCCTAGGGTGTGGAGACTGGAATGATGGGGGGTAGAGTGGGATGGAGCTTGAGACTGTAGCAGCAGATTTCTACCCTTTATCCTGGATTATGGGCTATAGTAGGAAAGTTTTTCATTGCCAGGGTAACGCTGAATAATTTCGTGGGTTTTTTTTTTCTTAAAAAGAGTGGTAGGCCAAATAAATTTAGGAACCTATGATTTAGCCTTTCTAGGCTTCAGGTTCTTCCTCTGTAAAATGAGGACAAGAACAGGGCTATTCTAATGGGGCTGTGAAGATTACGTTGTTAGATATTTAATGTGCTTAGTTAGCATGCTTGTGCTTTATTGGCATGGAAGATAACGAATTAATAGTTTTAGAAGACTGTCAGCAAGACAAAGAGCTTAAATGTTGCTTCTTATTATTAACCATCAAATGTGACCTTTCCTATTTTATATACTTACAAGGATAATATGGTATATAAAAGTATTTATAAAAGTGTCCCTCTCAGAAGGGCCACATGGAAGGGATGATAAATCCAGGGTGCAGTATAGCACTGATGAAACACATAACTATCTTCTGGTACTTCAATACTTCCTCCTCTTATTATTATGGTTTTTATTTGTTTTGCCTCATTAATCATGTTAGACTTGCTTATGTTCATTTGTATAATTAAGATCATTTGGTACATGAAAGCCAAGATAGATAACCCTTCATAAACAGTAACAGGAGTAATGGTTTCCTAAGGGAACTGGTAGTGAGGGTGGGAAGGAGGGAAGGGCGAGCAGCTGATAGCACTGATGACTGTACAACCCCACTTGAGGGGAGTGAATAACAGAACTGTACTTAAATGGATATATTGGATAGTATAAAAAGCAGCAACAAAAAAAAAGTTCCTGGGTTAGGGGTGAGGGGAACAGAGGGGATAAAAGAAAGCAGATATCAAGGAGTTCATGAGGAAAGAAAATGTTTTGAAACTGAGTTTGGTAGCAATTGTATAGTACTGCTAGATGTGATTGGACTATGGAATGTTATGATATCTGTAAGAGCTCCCAGTAAAATGATCGCACACACACACGTAAACATCTTTCAGCCACAAACAAAAAAAGGGTCTGCATAATTCAATGTTCTCATTGCTATGGAGTGGATGCTGACTCATAGTGACAGCCCCTCCCCACCCCGTGGGTTTCTGAGACCGTAACTGTTGACAGGAGGAGAAAGTCCTGTTTTTCTCTCACGGAGCAGCTGGTGACTTCCAGCGATGTGGATCACAGTCCATTGTGTACGCATTACATCACCAGGGCTCCCACCATGTGTGCATTACATCACAGTCCACCGTGTACACATTACATCACCAGGGCTCCCCCCATTCAATGTTCGGTAGCATCATTCTCGTTCAGCACGGACTGAATGTAGGGCCTAAGAAATGAGTCACTAGCTTTAGAGAGGAATAAGTAACACCAGGAACCTACATGCGGGTGGGAATAGAAGATGAAGAGAGGAGAATCAGACAAATAATTTTGCTACCAGATCCAATATGGGAAGTTCCACTAAAAGCTTCCAAGAATGTGCTCTGAGAGGGAAGGATCAGTAAAGGCCCAATCAAAGAGCTAACTTTTGAAAAGGATATGCAAATTCACATTCAATACATAGTGAGTGTCTGCTACTTGTCAAGCCTAGTGCTAGTTTTGGAAATGTAGAGGTGAATAAGACATTGTCAAGGTCCTCAGGAAACAAGCTTTAAGAAGAGACTTCAACTGGGATAAAAGTGAATTGGGAAGAACATTTCAACAGGCATTTCAATGCGGTAGATTGAGCAAAGGTCGACTGATGGAAAAAAAACAAACCAGTGTTGTATACTATCTAGGAATTCGTTCTGATTGGTTCAAGGCTTACATAATACTGGCAGGTGAGTTCAGCCAAGTTTTTTGGGGGGTCATATTTACATAGTAATGAACTCACTTAAACTCACTGCCATTGAGTCAATGTGGCTCATAGCGACCGTATAGGACAACATTGAACCCCTTGTGAGTTTCCAAGACTGTAACTCTATGGGACTAGAAAGCCCTGTCTTTCTCTCTCAGAGTGGCTGGTGGTTTTAAACTGCAGACTTTGCAGATCGCAGCCCAACGCTAACCAGGACACAACCAGGGCAACTTTATAGTATTGAAGAGCTGACTATAACTAATTTAAAAGGCAATGAGGATCTGGGTTCATCCGACACCAGCCGCCTCCGCCATGCCGCCCAAGTTCGACCCCAAGGAGATCAAAGTCGAGTACTTAAGGTGCACCGGTGGGGAAGTGGGTGCCACGTCCGCGCTGGCCCCCAAGATCGGACCCCTGGGCTTGTCTCCAAAGAAGGTGGGTGATGACATTGCCGAGCAACCGGTGAGCGGTGACGGGAAGGGCTTAAGGGTTACTGTGAAATGGACCGTTCAGAAGAGACAAGCCCAGATTGAAGCGGTGCCTTCTGCCTCTGCCCTCACCATCAAAGCCCTCAAGGAACCTCCCCGGGATAGAAAGAAGCAGAAAAACAGTAAGCATCGTGGGAACGTCACTTTCGATGAGATCGTCAGCATTGCGCGTCAGATGCGGCACCGATCTTTGGCCAGAGGACTCTCTGGAGCCGTTAAAGAGATCCTAGGGACTGCCCAGTCTGTGGGCTGAAGTGTTGATGGGCGCCATCCTCAGGATATCATAGATGACCTCAACAGTGGTGCCGTGGAATGCCCAGCCAGTTAAGAACGACAAAAGAAAACAATAAAGACTCATTTAATAACCAAAAAAAAAAAAAAAAAAAAACAATAAAGACTCATTTAATAACCAAAAAAAAAAAAAAAAAGGCAATGAGGAACTATTGAAGAAGATTTAACAAAGAAATAATGATTGCTTCTATATTAAGATTATTCTCAGCTATGAATTCATATCAGTGCAACATATTTTAGAGATCATAACCTAGACATAGTCTAGGATCTACTTAAAATGCAGGGAAGATCTACTTAAAATATTTTGAGACAGTACCCCAAACTGACTATGCCTTATTATTCTTCACAGATTTTATGTAGTGCACATACATGCACACACATCTTAATAGATTACAATTTAAAGCCAATTTTACCTTTGGGATATTTACATTTGTCATTTTCTCTTTCAGCTTCAACGTTTAATATGTCAATATATAAAATTCAAGAATAAATATATAGGAAAGGATCATTGTTCTTGAAATAAAATATATAACAACAGAATATTGGCCGGTGTTATTCATAACATCTCGGGATCTTTGCAGTGTAAAAGAGATAGGTGAAAGCTTACTGAAAATCAAGGTAATGCTTTCAAGTTCTCCCATGAACACTTGCTTGTCTTTTTCCATTTTCATATGTTTGCACAGATTGGTAAACAAATTCTGAAATTTGGAGAGTAATGCTTAATATGAAGTTTTGGATACACACATGCTACAAAATTGCTTTGCCCATTCACCGTGCGTGCACACCCCTTGCCCTTGTGCTCACCCTCGCAAGAGAGCATTTCTGATGATTTCAAAGGAGTTTCAAGAGATGGAGTCAAAACCTTAAAGGAAAGCCAATGCAAGCAGTTTGCTCTTTACGACTAACCTAAAAGTTGGTGGTTCAAACCCACCCAACAGTGATATTAAAGAAAGACCTGATGACATGCCTTTGTAACAATTACAACCAAGGAAACTCTATGGAGCACATTTTACTCTGTAACATGAGAATGTCAAGAGTCAGAATTGGCTTGAGAGCCGCAGGCTTCGATTTGGGCTAGCCACCAGAAAGACCAGGACTTCAAAGTCGAAACTGACCCTGCTTGCCCCTTCTCGTCGTGTAAGTTTCTGTGTTTAGGTGAACTTGTGCTGACAATTGGAGAACATTGTTTTCATATGTTTCCCAGTGAAGGTCAAGAAGTAGATCCTGACCAGATCGACATACCCAGGTGTATGCACGTCTGCTCCTGGGTTGGAAAAGATTACAAGAGTTCAGCTTGGGCGCCCTCTCAGCAAGGTGAAGCCAGGGCGGGTTCCTGCTGTTCATTCAGTGCCTCCAACAGTCATTTGTAAAAGGTCACTAGGATTGTCACTTGTATAATCTACTTGGTGGGTTGATTCTGATTGGCTGCTAGCTTGCTCTCAGATACTCATATTGACAGACACTTCTTGTCTCTGCAAAAGAGGTACACTCTGCTTTCATTTAAGTAACTGACAACAACTGCCAATGAATAGAGACCACAAAACATGGCCAGGCAGGATCTTGTTTTTGTGTGTGTTTTACTGTCTGTTATTTTTATTTCAAATCAATACCACAGATTAAAAACCCACAGCTAAATAACACAACTGCTTGGGGTTTAGACAGCAATTATAATACGTTTTGATTCATTATTCCTTTAACCATGACTCAAAATGCTTCTGAATCTCTTCTAAGTTTCAGGTAGTTTTCTGACCAAATGCCAACTGCTGTCTACGGTCAGGCAAGTTAAGCACTGTTTTTCTAGTTGTGATTACACCTTGCCCTTCTGCCCACCAGCTTCTGAATTAGCTGATTGGCATTCCTGAGAGCTTCACTTAACCCTGAGTTCTCTCAAATCTGTTTTCCATGAACTGTAGGGTAGAGGTGCCCTATTACATTTAGCAGCTTGACAAATGCACTTTTGTATCCTGAAGGGTAGCAGGAGGGCTCAGGGTAGGTCAAAAAGTTAATATGTCAATGTTCTCAAGGGTGATGGGAGTAGAAACTTGATGTGATATTAAAGATGACTTGAATTCAGTTGTTTTAAAGAATAAAATCATTCTTTTATATATCTGTAAGAGTTGATAGCAATTAAATAAGTCATACATGAATCATAGAAATTAGAGCAAGGGCAAAGTCCTATTAGATCATCTAACCAATTTCTCAGCAAATGCAAAATCATTCCCTGCGGAGTTCTGAGGAGCGCTCTGCACTTTCTTTGGAAAGTCCTGAGCAACCGGGGCCTTCATTATTTTCTTTAGGGGACTCTTTCCCTTATGAAAGACCACTGTGTTTTCCTCCTTCTCCTGATTGTCCAGCTAAAATATATAAATTATATATATATACATACATATATATATCTGTATATATATGACATGCAAAATCATTTGCACTCGGAGACAGATTGTAGGTAGAATTTGATCACCAGTTCTCAGAAAACAGAAGTGGGAATGCACTTGACCTTCTTAACTTGCAACCTCTTTTCTGGTTTTCATGATCTAATTTGCATACTCCGCGGAGGTCGAGCTACAGAGGTTTCCTGCAGAAGCTCCCAATTCCAATCTCACTATTAGAAACTGGGTAGGGGCTACTTTGAATATCCATGAATCTGAAACTTGAAGGAAGAGATTCTATGAGCCAAATAAGGAGCCATTGTGGTGTAGTGGTGACACGTTGGGCTGCTAACCACAAGTTCAGCAGTTCAAAACCACCAGCCACTCCATGGGAGAAAGACAAAGCTTTCTATTCCCATAAAGTGTTCTTTCAGTCTTTGAAACTCACATAGGCAGTTCGACCCTATCCTATAGGGTCATAATGAGGTGGGATCGACTCGGTGGTAGTGAGAGAGAAATGGGCCAATTATTGGATGATATTGTTGTTAGGGGCTATCAAGTTGATTTTGACTCTTAGTAACCCTCTGCCCCGCAGGACAAGACTCTACACTGCCCTGTGCCATCATCACAACTATTGTTGCTGTGACTGTGTCATCCAGCTCATTGAGGGCCTTCTTCTTTGTCCCCTCTTTCTTGCTGTCTCTGCACTTTACCAAGTATGATGAGCTTCTCCAGGGACTGGTTTCTCCTGACAATATGTCCAGAGTATGCAAGATGAAAGCTTGCCATGCTCGCCTCCAAGGAGTACTCTGGCCATCCTTCCTCGAAGGCAAATTGGTTTGTCTTTTAGCAGTCCGTGTAACTTTCAATATTCTTCTCCAGCACCACAATTCAAATGCCTCAATTTGTCTCTGGTCTTCCCTGTTCATTGCCCAACTTTCACATGCATATGAGGGAATAGAAAATACCACGGCTTGGGGCAGAGACACCTTAGTCCTCAAAATAACATACTGGTTTTCAATACTCTAAAGAGGTCTCATGCAGCAGATTTAGCTAATGTAACAGGACTTTTGATATCTTGACTGCGGTTTGCCTGAGCACTGATTGTAGATCCAAGCAAGACTAAATCCTTGACAACTTCCACCTTTCGTCCATTCATCATGATGTTATCTGTTGGTTCATTTGTGAGGCTTTGGGTCTTCATGTTGAGTTGTAATCCACACTGAAGCCTGCATGATCTTCATCAATACGTGTTTCAAGTCCTCCTCACTTTCAGCAAGCAAAGTGGTATCCTCTGCAACTCATAAGTTGTTAGTAAGCCTTCCTCCAATCCTGATGCTGCGTTCTTCTTCATATAATCAGGGAAGCCACTCCTTCTTCAATTTCTCTTCTTAGTCTGGAATCTCTACTGAAACCTTTTTACTTTGGATGACCCTGTTTGTATTTGAACTACCGGTAACATAGCTTCCAGCATCACAGCCACACACAAGTCACCAGAGTATAACCAACTGACATGAACGACAAGTGGTGAAATGGAATGATACAAAAAGATTAAAAAGAAGATGGAAGGAACACACAAAGTCACTGTATCAAAAAGAATGGGTTGACATTCGACCATTTCGAGAGGTAGCATATGACCCAGAAACAATGGTGTTGAAAGAAGTCCAAGTTGTCCTTGAAGGCATTAGCCAAAAACAAGGCTTCGGGAACGGATGGACTACCAATGGAAATGTTTCAACAAGCTGATACAGCTTTGGAAGGACTATCCTATGCTAAGAAATTTGGAAAACAGCTACCTGGTCAACTGATTGGAAGCGATTCCTATTTGTACTCATTCCAAAGAACGTGACCCAACTGAGTGAGATAACGATTGAACAATGTCATTAATATTAGATGCAAGTAATGGTTGCTTGAAGATGTTGCATAAATGGTTGCAGTTATACATCAACAGGGGCTGCCAGAAAGCAAAGCTGGATTCCGAAGAGAACAAGGGATGAGAGACATCATATCTCTTGAGTGAAAGCAGAGATTAGCAGAAGGATAGTTACTTGTGTTTTATTGACCACGCAAAGGCATTCAATCCTGTGGATCATAGCAGATTATGGATAACATTGGGAAGAATGAGAGTTCTAGAACATTTGTCAATTGGAACTTCTTATGAATGAATGGCTTGTAAGGGAACGTTTAAAAAATACCCTATTAAAAAAAAAAAAGTAGCTCAAAATTTACTGCCATTTAGTTGATTCCAACTCATAATGACCCTGCAGGACAGAATGGAATTGTCCTCCTTTTGGGTTTCTGAAGCTGTGAAAACCTCATTTTTCTTTTCAGAGCCATTGGTGGATTAGAACTGCTGACCTTGTAGTTAGCAGATGGAGTAACCCACTACACCAGGCAGAGCCTTAATACCAGTAGATTCCCCCAGAAAACACTTAGTTAGCACCTAATGTGGAGCCCATAAATAGGATCTGTGTAACATTCTTCTTGACCTGCATATACTTTGAGGTGTATCTAGCTTCTAATTCCACCTAGAGGAATTATTTTACCTCAATAAATCAGAGAAATGCATATTTTATGGAGATCAGTAGGCACA